CAATTGTTTCTTTTCTTTTCTTTTTTTGAGATGGAGTCTCGCTCTGTTGCCCAGGCTGGATTGCAGTGGTGACATCTTGGCTCACTGCAACCTCTGCCTCCTGGATTCAAGCGATTCTCTTGCCTCAGCCTCCCGAATAGCTGGGATTACAGGCAAACGCAACCACACCCAGCTAATTTTTGTATCTTTATTAGAGACAGGGTTTGACTGTGGTCAGGCTGGTCTCAAACTCCTGACCTCTTGATCCACCCACCTTGGGCTCCCAAAGTGCTGGGATTACAGGCGTGAGCCATCGCGCCTGGCCAAGACACTTGTTTCTAATCTCTGGGTCTGATGAACTGCTGGGGAAGTTGAGGAGGAGAAGTGCTAAAAGGGGTGGAAAGTACATTGGATGGCACCTTTTACTCCTGTGGTAAGACAGAACATAAAGGTCCAGCTGCTGCTGCTGCCTTTTTTTTTTTTTTTTGAGACAGAGTTTCACTCTTGTTGCCCAGGTTGGAGTACAATGGCACGATCTTGGCTCGCTGTAACCTCTGCCTCCGGGGTTCAAGTGAGTCTCCTGCCTAGGCTTCCAAAGTAGCTGGGATTACAGGTGCCTGCCACCACACCTGGCAAATTTTGTATTTTTAGTAGAAATGGGTTTTTCCATGTTGGTCAGGATGGTCTCAAATTCCCTACCTCAGGTGATCTGGCCTCCCAAAGTGGTGGGATTATAGGTGTGAGCCACTGTGCCCTGAGGGCTTTTTTTTTTTTTTTTCCTGAGACGGAGTTTCTGCTCTTGATAACCAGGCTGGAGTGCAATGGCACGATCTCGGCTCACCGCAACCTCCGCCTCCTGGGTTCAAGCAATTCTCCTGCCTCAGCCTCCTGAGTAGCTGGGACTACAGGTGTGCGCCACGATGCCCAGCTAATTTTTGTATTTTTAGTAGAGACGGGGTTTGACCATGTTGACCAGGATGGTCTCGATCTCTTGACCTTGCAATCTATCCACCTCAGCCTCCCAGAGTGCTGGGATTACAAGCGTGAGCCACCGTGCCTGGCCTCGGGAGTACCTTTTCATTTAAAAAATGTTTGCAGGCCAGGCGCGGTGGCTCACGCCTGTAATCCCAGGACTTTGGGAGGCCGAGGTAGGCGGATCACAAGGTTATGGGTTAGAGACCAGCCTGACAACACGGTGAAACCCCATCTCTATTAAAAATACAAAAATGAGCTGGGTGTGGCAGCGCATGCCTGTAATCCCGGCTACTTGAGAGACTGAAGCAGGAGAATTATTTGAACCCAGGAGGCAGAGGCTGCAGTGAGCTGAGATCATGCCACTGCACTCCAGCCTGAGCAACAGAGTGAGACCCTGTCTCAAAAAAATGTTTGGAGGGCCGGGCGAGGTGGCTTATGCCTGTAATCCCAGCACTCTGGGAGGCCGAGGCGGGTGGATCACGAGGTCAAGAGATCGAGACCATCCTGGTTAACATGGTGAAACCCCGTCTCTACTAAAAATACAAAAAATTAGCTGGGCACGGTGGCACATGCCTGTAGTCCCAGCTACTCAGGAGGTTGAGGCAGGAGAATTGCCTGAACCCAGGAGGCGGAGGTTGCGGTGAGCGGAGATCGCGCCATTGCACTCCAGCCTGGGTAACAAGTGAAACTCCGCCTCAAAAAAAAAAAAGTTTGGAAATATGTATAACTTTGATATAGTTTCGAGGTACTCCAGACACCCGTGGCCACTTCATGTAAACCACTGACAATTTCTAGAGCACTTTGAAAGACAACAATACAATCATGATCAAATTTTGTAATTAAACCTAATGAGGGTAACAGACACTTCTCAAATAAGAGATGCGTCAATTACGGGATGGGGCTCCCCTACTCTAAGGTATTCGCAAGGAGACAGATAAACAGTTTTCTTTTTCTTTTGAGATGGAGTTTCACTCTTGTTGCCTAGGCTGGAGTGCAGTTTCACAATCTTGGCTTACAGCAACCTCTGCCTCCCGGGGTCAAGCGATTCTCCTGCTCAGCCCCCTGAGTAGCTGCAATTACAGTCATGCACCACCATGCCCTGCTAATTTTTTTTTTTTTTTTTTTTTTAGTAGAGATGGGATTTCTCCGTGTTGGTCAGGCTGGTCTTGAACTCCCAACCTCAGGTGATTCACCTGCCTTGGCCTCCCAAAGTGTTGGGATTATAGGTGTGAGCCACCCAGCCTGGCCAGATAGACAGTTTATCTATCTTCCTCCCTCCTCTTCATCTTCCACCCTTTTCCAGGAAACTTTAGCAGGACCTTTTGCACCATCAAACTTTCCTTTCAACTTAAAGTCAGCAACATCCTTCTCATACTTTTCCTTCGGGTTTGCCACCTTAAGGCTACTTTTCACTGTGATTTAAGTTATTCCACATCTCACCCAGAAAAGCCCAGCTTCTTAATAGAATAGGGATAACAGTGCCTGTTTCTTGGGATTGTTATGAAGGTTACATAATGCTGGTGTAAGATGCTTTAGCATAGTGCCTGGTACCTAGTAAGTATTAGCTACTAAAAGGATAATTCTGTATTTATTTGAGATGGAGTCTTGTTCGGCTTCCCAGGATGTAGTGCAGCGGTGTGATCTCAGCTCACTGCAACCTCTGCCTCCTGGGTTCACTCAATTCTACTGCCTCAGCCTCCCTTGTAGCTGGTATTAAAGGCATGTGCCACCACATGCAGGTAATTTTTTGTATTTTTTATTTTTTTTTGTAGAGACGGGGTTTATCCATGTTGGTCAGGCTAGTCTCGAACTCCCAACCTCAGGTGATCTGCCTGCCTTGGTCTCCCATAGTGCTGGGATTACAGGCATGCTAGGATTACGGCTGTGAGCCACCATACCCGGCCATTCTCTCTCCTTTTTAAAACCAAGAAGCACTGATGGGCTTCTCCATGATAGCACCTCTGGCTGTTGATACCCCAACCTGGTGTCCTGTAAAACTGCTGCTCACTCCTCTCATTCCTTGGCTAGGGAAGAGGCCATAGTTAATCTGTAAAGATCACACATAACACATGTGTTTTAGTAACTGAAAAGAGCACCAATGCTCATCTAGATTTTACACCCCAGTGTTAGCTTTATTTGGGGCCAGGCTCAGTGACTCATGCTTGTAATCCCAGCACCTTGGGAGGTTGAGGCAGGCAGATAACCTAAAGTCAGGAGTTCGAGACCAACCTGCCCAACATGGCGAAACCCTTCTCTACTAAAAATACAAAAAATTAGTCTGGCGTAGTGGCGCACCCCTATAGTCCCAGCTCCTGGGGAGACTGAGGCAGGAGAATCGCTTGAACCAGGGAGGCTAAGGTTGCAGTGTTGAGATCATGCCACTGCACTCCAGCCTGGGCGACAAGGGTGAAACTCTGTCTCAAAAACAAACAAACCAGCTTTATTTGGTGTTCTGATTTTAATAACAGCAGCCTTTTTTTTCTATTGCAATCTTGGTTGGGAACCACAGGATATAAAGCAGACAAAAGAGGAGCAACTTGGTTGACTAGGCTGTGGAGCTGGGACCCCACAGTTCTTTTCATCCCCTCAGTGGCATCTTCTGACCAGATTCAGAGATTGGAGACCACTTTACATTTCTAAATTTTTTACAGTAATCCTCGTAGTTATGACACTTCATAGAATAGGACTGAGGTTTATTACATACTGGAGTTGAACCAAAATCTGTGACTCAAAGCACACTCCTTTTACTACTAGTAAGTAAGCCTTCTAAGCTTGTTTAACTAGAGGTTAGATAATGGCCACAGAAAGCATTGTGGCGTATGTTAAGTGCTAGATGCCCCCCAGTCTCACTCCAAGGACAGGAGTCCTGAGTGTCCTCTGTAGGCATCCACTGTCACAAGATTTTCCAGGATAGTTTAGATTTTAAGAATGTCCCACTGTTATCCCCTGAAGTACACTCCAACTTGACACCACATGACCTGTTTTGAAAATGTGGTCGAGGCAGGTTGAGGTGGCTCCCACCTGTAATCTCACCACTTAGGGAGGCTGAGGCAGGCAGATCACCTGAGGTCTGGAGTTCGAGACCAGGCTGGCCAACGTGGTGAAACCCTGTCTCTACTAAAAACACAAAAATTAGCTGGGCATGGTAGTGTGCGCCTGTAATCTCAGCTACTCGGCAGGCTGAGACACAAGAATTGTGTGAACCTGGGAGGCGGAGGTTGCAGTGAGCTGAGATCAGGCCACTGCACTCCAGCCTGGGTAACAGTGAGACTCCATCTCAAATAGAAAAGAAAATGTGGTCGCGATACCTATCGGGTCAGCCTCTCCTGGTGGGGTGGGACAGACAGCAGCTGCAGCCCATGCCCCAAGCACTGACCACGAGTGTCTAAGCATTGATAGGAGTCTACTGCAGGGCTCATCTGGATGGAGGAACGTAATTTATTGGTTCTTTCAGTTCACCACACCCGACTCGTGTCTCGGCCCTGTCCATTTTTTTTTTAATTAAAGACGGTGTTTCACCATGTTGGTCAGGATGGTCTTGAACTCCCGACCTCAAGTGATCCGCCCGCCTTGGCCTCCAAAGTGCTTGGATCACAGGCGTGAGCCACCACGCCGGCCAGCCTTTGCGAACTTTAAAGCGATCAGTGCAGGGTTTAGGGGGAACGTGCTCACCCGATGGCAGCTCACAGGACCCAAAAAAGTCCTGGGAATGGCATCTCGGTTCGGACTCACCGCTGGGCCCACGAAGGAGAAAGGCTGCCTCAGACTCCTGCGCCCTAGCCAAGGTCCCAGCGCCCACTGCGGGCAAGTCCGGTCTCACGCTGACTTCCCGCCTTTGCCGCCTTCGCCGCCAACTATCCAGTTCTTCCTCCAGGCCACGTTCTCCTGAGTGGTCGCTGCTTCCTGCAGAACGTCCATCACTAGCTGCTTGGTCCTGGCCACCTCGTCCCTGCTCAGCGGGTCCTGCAGTGGCATCTCCTGAGGGCAGGAAGGGAGGTTCGCAGGAGCTCCAGTCCGGGGCTCTCCACCCTCCCACCCAACTTCGGGACTACCAGTTGTTTCTACCTTCAGCATCTCCTGCTTCCGCTGCCCTCTCGGGGTCACAATAACAAAGAGTGCGGAGCCCACGCCAGCCCCTGCGCCCAGCACTGCGACCGTGATCAGCATTTTCCTCAAGGACTGCATGGCCGCCTGCGCAGCCAGCGGGGTGCCCGCCAGAGTCCCCAGCAGCTGCGAGCCGCCGCCGCGCCGTCTCACTGCCCGCCTGCGCAGGCTAGAGCGCCCGATAGCGGAAACCATAGAGAAGCGGCGGGATAGAGAGGACCTGCTCAAGGAAACATTTAGAATCCGGAGCGCCTGGGTCTCAGGTTTAGCTGAGGGCGTTGAGGATGTGAAGAGGTGCTGGCACCAACGGCTGAGCGCGGGGACCTTGTGTCCTCAATTTCAGAGTAGGATTGCTAGGGGGAAGAGTGCGTGTCTTCATGGTTGCTGTGGGTTTTATGATTGTCCACTTTTGTGTCTTCCGAAGTTTCCCATCAGTAGAGGGCCGAGCTGTGCTCTGGTTTTCTGCAGTCACCCGCGTATTTTCAACACGGCGCGTGGAGGTTATCCACACACAAACACATGTCAATCTATTATCCCCTCTCCATCCCCTCAACTCTGGAATAAACACTCAAAGTCAAGTGTACTGGTTGGAGAAACAATATCTTTAAAATTTATTTTACAAACAATCTGTTCCTTTTCTCATCATGGTATACATTTGGTATTGTTTGGGGTTTTTTTTGGGGGGGGATCGTGGTTTTGTTTGTTTTTGGAGACACGGTCTCACTCTGTTGCCCATGGTTGGAGTGCAGTGGCGCGATCTCGATTCACTGAAGCCTCGACCTCCTGGGCCCAAGCGATCCTCCTGCCTCACCCTCCTGAATAGCTGGGATTACAGGCACGCGCTACCACTCCCAGCGGTTTTATTTTCTGCCACGAAAAGGCTGGATTCGTATGAGTACTGAATTCTGCTTTACAGAAGAAAACACCTCTTAGCCGTGTGACTGATCCTAGGCAAGTTCTTCTGCCCTGGTTTCTGCATCAGAAATGAAGCTTATTAACAATACCTGTCTCATAGTTTTAGAATAATTAAATAAGTTACATGTAAAGCAAACAAAACAGCTCCTGACAAAGAATAAACACCATAAAAATATTCATTAAATAACATATAAACATGCCAGCTTGGGAAAATCAGTAAGCAAAGAGTCATGAAATTCCAAGTTGTTATCAAAACTCTCTGCTTATAAGGCTTTAATCCAGGTCTTTAACAAGGCCCTTGTCTCCTACCCTTGCTGCCACCCCAGTGTCTCCAGAGTAACTAGAAATAAATATCCTATCTCACTTCTTCGGCATTTTCCCCTCCCCAGGAAGCCCATAATCGTCTAGCACGTCAGTGCTTAAGGAGCCAGGTTCCAAAGAAGATTAAAGGAACAGTTTGCGGGGTGCAGTGGACAAGGAGTACTCTCCTGAGTTCAATCATCTTGCACTCCTCAGAATCACTACCATGGCCCTTGTGCCAGGGAGCAGCGAGGAGGATGGGCTTTGGAATAGAAATAGCCTAGGTTCCTCCCAGCATCCAGAAAGTCCCAGGCTGCCCAACCCTCTCGGGGACAGAGGAGAGATTGGCAAGGCTGAAGGTCACCAGGATATTCAGGTTAGTACTTCCCCACCTTGCGTCTGGCAGACTTACCCTCCAATTTGGGCCAACCTCCCTGCTGTCCCTATTCAGGTTTTCTCTCAAAAGTCCCACCTGCCATCTATTGTGGTGGGAGCCTCTGAGGTGAATGAAGTGAGTGGGGATCTCCACTGGCCCCATGAGGAGCTGCTGCTGCTCACTGATGGTGAGGAAGAGGAGGTGGAGGCCTTTTTCCAAGACCAAATTCAAGAGCCAGGTGAGTGAGGTAGCTCATTCAGGAGGCCACGGCAATCTGAATGTTCTGGGCAGAGCCAAGACAGATGTCAGTTATGACCCCTGCATTCGGCAGTGCCAGGAACACAGCAGGTGCTCAATAAATGTGAAGATCTAGGATAGAAAAGTCGAGGCAGTTGGCAAAGTTGGTGAACTTTAGAGAGCTGCAGGAAACGATAGTTACCTCAAGTCCAACTACCTAAAAATAGTTTACATTTTCTTTTTTTTTTTTTTGAGAGTTTCGCTCATTACCCAGGCTGGAGTGCAATGGCACGATCTCGGCTCACCGCAACCTCCGCCTCCTGGGTTCAGGCAATTCTCCTGCCTCAGCCTCCTGAGTAGCTGGGATTACAGGCACGCGCCACCATGCCCAGCTAATTTTTTGTATTTTTACTAGAGACAGGGTTTGACCATGTTGACCAGGATGGTCTCGATCTCGTGATCCACCCGCTTCGGCCTCCCAAAGTGCTGGGATTATAGGCTTGAGCCACCTTACCCGGCCAATAGTTTACATTTTCGATGTCTTCTCCTTTACTTTTTTCATGTCTATGTACTGTTACAGAAGCTACATTTTGACTGGGCAGGGTGGCTCATGCCTATAATCCCAGCACTTTGGGAGGCCACAGAAAGTAATTTTTGGCTGGAATGCAGCAGCATATCATGCCCCACTGCAGCTTCAACCTCCCAGTGCTCAAGCAGTCATCCCAGTTTAGCCTCCTGAATAGTTGGGACTACAGGCCTATGCCACTATGCCTGGCTATGTTGTAGTTAGGGCTGTCACTTTATTGTCAGGGCTGAAACTCCTGGACTCAAGCAGTCTGCCAAGGTTGGCTTCCCAAAATGCTGTGATTACAGGCATGAGCCACTATGCCTGGCCTCGTTTTGTAATTTAATGTAATATTTTTCATTGCAACTCCCCTCTTCTCCATTCCAGGCTGGGTTTGGAGCCCACAGGATGCTAGATCTCCTTTAAGAACATTTAGTGCTGGACTCAGCTGGGGGCAGGACCAGGATGAGGAAGATGCTTGTTGGATTCCTGAGGACACAGAGTGTCAGGAAGCCACCAACCACGGTCCTTTCTGGGACTCGGCAACAGGGTCCCGGGTTTGCAGAAGCAGCTTTGTGGAATATTCCCATCTCCTGCCTCCCAGTAGCTTTGAGGGTAAGTGTTGTTCCCTCCCCTTCAACATCTCATCCAGGTTTATGAATCTCCTTTTACAGGTGAGAAAAATTTACAAGCCAGTCAGTGGGGCAGGGGGTTGGATTCAGTTCCTGTTTGCTGCTTTTAGGAGCTCCAGTTAGTTGGAAGTAGGGAATGACCCACTTGAAACTTCTCTTTTCAGCACTCATCTTGTGCCAAATATTGCAACTCCAGGTTATTCCCACTCTGCAGATGAGTAAACTGGGGAACAGAAACATTCAGTAATCGTGCACCCAGCTAGTAAATGTGGAAGCCAGGACTCAAATTCTCACTTTGCAGCCAGCCAGATACCTCATAGACTAGCTCGCTCTTCAGCCTTCTCCTTGCCCACAGAAATACCAGGGTCAGGACTACTAACATGTCTTTAATGAGAGCCTTGAATCAAGTAAGCAAAGTAGGTAATGCCCCTGAATGGGCCGAGCTCCTGCACAGTCACAGTCCAGCCACGGGACCCTTGTTCCAGGCAGGGCAGTCGCACATCAGGGTCCTCATCTGAGAACTGAATCAGGGTCCCCTGGGGGCTTAGAACCCTCAAGCATTCTGACAGCAGCTGGTAAGCCCTAGGCAGACCCCCCCGGGCAACAGCATCCCAGGTGCCCTTGTCTAGTAGTAGTTGGAAAGAACCTGAAGAAGCCACAGCCTCCAGGTTCTGGGCATCAGCCTGCATGAAGCGGAGGCAGGAAGCAGGATGCCCAGGGCGTAGAGGTGTTTGGCCTTGGCCATGCTCCAGGAGGCTGTTCATGTGGGCCACAGCCACAAAAGAAAAGTCCACCCCAAGCACATCCACTGGGTGTGGGGATTTGGTGTAGAGGCCAGTACATAGGCTGGAGGTCCCACAGCCCACATCCAGCACCCGCAGAGGACAGGCAGCACGTGCCTCCTGCAGCAATGGCAGTAGGAGCCCCTGGACTTCTTCGTATCCAAAGAACCAGTCGAAGGTGGGGACACTGCCCAAACAGGACTGGGAGTGGAGCCGATCCCAGAGACAGCGGACCACCAGGGAGCTACCAGCCAGTGAGCCTGTGGACACGGTTGGAGGGTACATGTCACTCCGTCTATCTTGCCACTGCAAAAGCGGTGCATATACACACTGGGACACTGAGGTCTTTTTTTTTTTTGAGGGGGGAGCCAATTCTTACTCTGTGACCCAGGCTGGAGTGAAGTGACTCAATCATGGCTGACTGCAGCCTCGACTTCCTGGGCTCGGGTGATCCTCCCACCAGGGCCTCCTGAGTAGCTAGGACTACAGGCAGCACCATGCCCTGTTAGTTTTTGTATTTTTTTTTGTAGACAGGGTTTTGCCATGTGGCCCTAGGCTGGCCTTTTCCTCCTGGGCTCAAGTGATCTGCCCCAGCCTGGGCCTTGAAAAATGTTAGGATTACAAGCATGAGCCACCGCGCCCGGTTCACGGTGGGGTCTGAGAGCCACAATTTCAGGGACTAGGCTCTCGGGTCACGAGGAATCCACATTGCCCTCCCCACTCTGTCCCCATCTCCCTACCCGCAAAAGGGAGGCACACCCCTGCCACCAGGCTCGGCAAGTGGAGCATTCGACGCAGCGTAGCCATCTGTTAGTCCGGGTAAGGTCGACCAGAGAACCTTGTGTTAAGTGTCCACCCTACTCTAGCCGGAGGCCTGAGATCCAGGGGAAGATCTGCAAATTCCGCGTAGCAGAACTCGTACAGCTCCTCGAACTCTGCAGTCTCGGAAAAAGGAACGCGGACACAGACCGACTATGGTAGGAACGGCCTTTATTGGCTGCAGCGGGATGTGGAAGAGGGAATACAGCGTCCGCAGACCTGAAATCAAATGAGAAAGTGTGAGCACCCCCGTGAAGTAAACAGCTGGATCTCGGTTGCCCTGCTCCGAAATGCCCGGTGTCTCGGCGCTTGAGGATAGAACCAGCGGATGGGAAGCCACCGGCACCGAAGACATGACGCCGAGGGGGCCAGAGCCCTTCCCTCTTCCTCCGTACATTACGGGGAGCGAGACCACAAGCCCGGTCCCCGCCAAGAAAAGGAGGGTCCTGCGGCTCAGCCCAGAGCCCTCCGCCTGGCACCCGTACTCCGCCCGGACGCTCAATTCGGATACTACAGCAAAGCCCGCACTTACCAGCTCTCCGCCCTCCGAAAGACCTCCAGGGTCACGGAGCTCCCTTATATAGCCGAAGGACCCGCCCCCGAGGTACGATTGGCCCGTGGAAAGCCGGGGCGGAGCCCCGCGGATCCGGTGCGGAGCGGAAGTACGGACCCTGAGCTGCCATAGCGACGCGACTATGGGAGCTCCTGGGGGAAAGATCAACCGGCCCCGAACGGTGACTGTGTGGGGGCCGCGGCTTTGTTTCCTCAAGCGTTCCCGAACCCTTTTGTGTCGCCCGAGATGGGATCAATGGAGGGCCCGGGTTGCCTGGTGGAGCAGCCCGGGGTCGCTGCGCGCTGCCTCCATCTGATTAACATCTTTCTCCGGGGTAGGAGCTGAAGAAGAAGTTGTTCAAACGCCGGCGGGTGTTGAATCGGGAGCGGCGTCTGAGGCACCGGGTGATCGGGGCTGTGATAGACCAAGGGCTGATCACGAGGCACCACCTCAAGAAGCGAGCGTGAGTACCAGACCCTCATCCTGTTGGTAGTCCCCACCGAGCCTTCCCTCCTCCCTGCAGAGCTCCGAAGCAGCTTCACGTCTCAGCTCACCTCCTTGGGTTTCACCATGTTGGCAAGGCTGATCTTGAACTCCTGACCCCAGGTGATCCTCCCACCTCAGCCTCCCAAACTGTTGGGATTACAGGCGTGAGCCGCCGCGCCGGGTCTATGTCCCTTCATCGGCTTCTTCAGTGTAAATATTTAGGGTTTCTACTACACACAAAACTTTAACAATTAATGTTAAGTACTTTGTTTAATACTTTTTCTATATTTAATACTTTATCGTTTATATTTATATTTATTTAATACTTTTTCTAGAGCCAGAACCATTTGTGTGACCTCAGTTGGTTCGGGTCCTAGATATCTTTACTTTCACCTATTCCTCAGGTCCAGTGCACGTGCCAATATTACTCTGTCCGGGAAGAAGCGCAGAAAACTCCTGCAGCAGATCCGGCTTGCCCAGAAAGACAAGGCAGCCATGGAAGGTGAGTCTGGGATAGAGGTGGCTGAGGGAAAGCCTGTGTTTATTTGGGTTAATACTTCCTTCTTCCCTTTACTCAGTGGAAGCCCCTACAAAGCCAGCCAGGACTAGTGAACCACAGCTCAAAAGGCAAAAGAAGACGAAAGCCCCTCAGGATGTAGAAATGAAGGACCTTGAAGATAAGAGCTAAACCTCTTCCACTAGAAGATTCTCAACTGGAGCCAGCCTTCAGACTCGGTGGCTGTTTCAGAGCACTTTGATAAAAGCAGTGCTCCTTTTCACTCTCCAGATTTCTTCCTCCCTAATGGCCTACTGACCTCCCCTAGAGGGATGTCTTTGGGAGGGAAGAAAGTTGAGAAAGATTGGAGAAGGGCCTCTGCAGCAGTCAACTTCATTTGTAATAAAGCCCTAGCACTCTGAGATGTGTGTGGTTAAATGTAGAAATGGGGATGGGCCATGAAAAGATTGGTGAATATGAAAACATACTCAATGAGACAGGAAACAGAACCCACAGAGCCTGCTTGAGCAAATGCAGCAAAATGCCAGACTCTGCCCTAATGAGTGGTGGTGCCTGGCCAGGTGCAGTGACTCACACATGTAATTCCAGCACTTTGGGAGGCCGAGGTGTAATTACAACACTTAGTAATCCCAGTGAAGTGGGTGGGTCATCTGAGGTCAGGAGTTTGAGACCAGCCTGGCTAACATGGTGAAACCCTGTCTCTATTAATAATAAAAAAATTAGTTCGGATCCGAGTCAGGGCACCAAAAAAAAATTAGCCAGGCATGGTGTCACGTGCTTGTAATCTCAGCTACTTGGGAGGCTGAGGCAGGAGAATCACTTGAACCTGGGAGGTGGAGGTTGCAGTGAGCCGAGATCCTGCCGTTGCACTCCAGCCTGGGCAACAATAGTGAAACTGTCTCGAACAACAAAAAAGGAGTAGTGGTGCCTGCGGGGGTATTGCTTGAGGCCAGGAATTCAAGGCTGTAATGTGCTGTGATCACATCTGTCTCCCTAGTGAGTGATACTCTAACTTTCCATTTATGACAAAGATACAGACTGAGGGGTTGCAGTTACAGTGAGTAGAAATTATGGCACTTGCACGTCAGTCTGGGCAACAGAGTGAGCCCTTCTCTTGAAAAATACACATATAGATCATTGTAGGGATGGCAGAGGTAAGGGCCCTGATACCAGTTCTGCCACTGCCCCTTGTGACCAAGTCACTTTACCTCTTCTGTCTTGCTTCTTTTATTTTGAGACAGTCTCACTCTGTCACGCAGGCTGGAGTGCAATGATATGGTCTCGGCTCACAGTAACCTCGGCCTCCTGGGTTCAAGCTATTCTCCTGCCTCAGCCTCCCAAGTAGCTTGGGACTACAGGTGCCTGCCACCACACCCAGCTAACTTTTTTTGTATTTTTGGTTGAGACAGTTTCACTATGTTGCCCAGGCACGTCTCCTACTGCTGACCTTATGATCCACCCGCCCCAGCCTCCCAAAGTTCTGGGATTACAGGCATGAGCCACTGCACCCAGCCCCATCTTTTGTTGGATTATGTTTTTATTTTAATGATTTTTTAAATATGTATTTTTGAGTCAGAGTCTTGGTCTGTTGCCCAGAGGCAATCTTGACCTGGGTTCAAATAATCCTCACACCTTAGCCTCCTGACTAGCTGGGACTACAGGCACATCCCTGGCTAATTTTTTTTTTTTTTTTTTTGAGACAAAGTCTCCCTCTGTTGCCAGGCTAGAGTGCAGTGGTGAGACCTCCGCCTTCTGGGTTCGAGTGATTCTCCTACCTCAGCCTCCCGAGTAACTGGCATTACAGGCGTGCACCATGACACCCCCCAAAAAATAATTTTTGTATTTTTTTTTTTTAAGCATTTTGGTTATTTTTAAAGAAAAACAGCCTTCTCCAAGGGCAACAAAATGAACTGAAGGTCAGAAGGAAGCTGGGTACGGGCTTCTCGCAAGTTCTTGCTCCAAAACTTGGAAGTGAGGCGAGAGGGCCCTCCCGGAGCTCTGGGGAAGGCCGGCACAGCACAGGAGTTCCTTTGGTTGGGGAGGAAGAGCCACCAGCCCACACATGATCACTGGATTGGTCTGAGTGGGCTCCAAGGTGACTGTCACGTGCCAGTCTGCTAACATGATCGACATTAACATTCTTGGGGGGCATTAAATTAAGGAATGACACAGGGAGTCAGGAGAGTGGCCTATTCGGTTGGATTCTGAATCACAATCAGGAAATAGTCTTTATCTGGTGCAACCATAATCTCATTTTTCTTGGAGCGAATTCGAAGGAAGGTGAGATCGTTCTGGGGGTCGATTTCACGCACGGTGCTCCGTGCCTTCAGGATGAAGCTGTGCATCAGGCTGGCATACTGGGTGGTGGTGGGGTTGTCCATGGTGCTCTTGATGGGAATGCCTTCTGTGTTCACCACGATGATTCCCTGCACTCCCTTCTGGCTCTGAAGTCGCTTCAGTGTCTCCTCCACCTCTGCCATTTCCGACGGATCCGGTAGCCCCGCGTAGCCAACACTCAGCCCAGTCCCGTGCCTTTCTCAATTTTTGTATTTTTAGTAGAGACGGGGTTTTACTACTTTGGCCAGAATGGTCTCAATCCCTTGACCTCATGATCCACCTGCCTCGGCCTCCCAAAGTGCTGGGATTACAGGTGTGAGCCACCATGCCTGGCCTCCTTCTTCCATCTTTATACTTTGAACATTTAAAACTGATCTGGGGGCCGGGTGTGGCGGTTCAAGCCTGTAATCCCAGCACTTTGGGAGGCCGAGGCGGGTGGATCACAAGGTCAAGAGATCGAGACCATCCTGCTCAACATGGTGAAACCCCGTCTCTACCTAAAATACAAAAAATTAGCTGGGCACGGTGGTGAGTGTTTGTAATCCCAGCTACTCAGGAGGCTGAGGCAGAAGAATTGCCTGAACCTAGGAGGCGGAGATCGCACCATTGCACTCCAGCCTGGGTAACAAGAGCGAAACTCCGTTTCAAAAAAATAATAATAATAAAATAAAATAAAACTGATCTGGACGCATGTAATGACAACAGTTTGGGAGGCTGAGGAGTGTGGATCACGAGGTGAGGAGATCGGGACCATCCTGGCTAACATGGTGAAATCCCGTCTCTACTAAAAATACAAAAGATTAGCTGGGCGTGATGGTGAGCACCTGTATTCCCAGCTACTTGAGAGGCTGAGGCAGAATTGCTTCAACCGGGAGGTGGAGGTTGCAGTGAGCCAAGACTGCCATTGCACTCCAGCCTAGGCGACAGACCAAGACTCCATCTTAAAAAAACACAAAAAGCAAAGGCCAGACACAGTGGCTCACACCTGTAATCCCAGCACTTTGGGAGGCTGAGGCAGGTGGATCAGAAGATCAGGAGTTCAAGCCCAGCCTGGCCAAGATGGTGAAATCTCTACTAAAAATACAAAAATTAGCTGGGCATGGTGGCAGGCGCCTGTAATTCCAGTTACTTAGGAGGCTGAGCAGGGAATTGCTTGAACCTGGGAGGCGGAGGTTTTAGTGACTCGAGATTGCACCACTGCACTCCAGCCTGGGTGACAGAGTGAGACCATCTCAAAAAAAAAAAAATGCCAGGCGCAGTAGCTCACATGTGCAAATCACCTGAGGTCAGGAGTTTGAGACCAGTTTGGCCAATATGGTGAAACCCCACCTCTACTAAAAATACAAAAATTAGCTGAGCATGGTGGTACGCGCCTGTAGTCCCAGCTACTTGGGATGCTGAGTCAGGAGAATCCTTTGAACCCAAGAGGCAGAAGTTGCAGTTAGCCAAGATTGTGCCAGTGCACTCCAACCTGGCAACAGAGTGAGACCCTGTCTCAAAGAAAAAACAAACAAAACAATCTTTCAGTAAAGTGAAGAGATTAGTACAATAAATAAACTCCTATATATGCGCTCTACTTAGATTTGGTATTACCTCTACTAGATTTAGTATTACCAATTATTAATACTGTGCTACCCTTGTGAATCTGTATTTTCCTTGTCCTTATTGAATTAGATCGTTTGAAAGTCAAATATGGACAACCTGAAACCTTATTCCTAAGGGCATCCTTCTATGTAGCCAAAATGCTATAATCACAGCTAAGATGTTTAACATTAATTAAATACCTAATATTCATATTCAGTATTCAGTTTTTCTCTTTCTTTCTTTCTTTTTTTTTTTTGAGACAGAGTTTCACTCTTGTTACCCAGGCTGGAGTGCAATGGCTTGATCTTGGCTCACCGCAACCTCTGCCTTCTGGGTTCAAGCCATTCTCCTGCCTCAGCCTCCCAAGTAGCTGGGACTACAGGCGTGCACCACCATGCCCAGCTAATTTTTGTATTTTTTTTTTCAGTAGAGACGGGGTTTCACCATGTTGACCAGGATGGTCTCGATCTCTTGACCCCGTGATCCACCTGCCTCGGTCTCCCAAAGTGCTGGGATTATAGGCATGAGCCACCACGCCCGGCCCTGTTTTTCTTTCTTTTTTTGTTTTTTTTTGAGACAGAGTCTTACTCTATTGCCCAGGCTGGAGTGCAGTAGCACAATCTTGGCTCACTTCAACCTCCTCCTCCCAGGTTCAAGCAATTCTACTGCTTCAGCCTCCTGAGTAGCTGGGATTACAGGCTTGTGCCACCATGCCTGGCTAATTTTTGTATTTTTAGTAAAGACGGGGTTTCACCATGTTGGTCAGGCTGGTCTTGAACTCCTGACCTTGTGATTCACCTGTCTCTGCCTCCCAGTGTACTGGGATTATTGGCATAAGCCACCATTATTTTTGTATTTTTAGTAGAGATGGGGTTTCACTATGTTGGCCAAGCTGTTCTCAAGCTCCTGACCTGGTGATTTGCCCTCCTCAGTCTTCCAAAGTACTGGGATTACAGGCATGAGCCATCACGTGTGGCCATTTTTTTTTTTTTTTTTTTTTTTTTGTATTTTTAGTAGAGATGGAGTTTCACCATGTGAAACTGAAATGATCCGCTCACTTAGGCTTCCCAGAGTTTTGGGATTACAGGCATGAGCCACTGTACCCATCCCACCAAATGGTGTAGTAGCCATGATAATCTTTACCTGAATTAGTTATTACTATGTTTCAAAAATGGTGATTTTCCAATGCTGTCTTTCATTCATTCATATTATTCCTATGACCTTCTATTAAGAAGAGCCCAGGCCATGCATGGTGGCTCACTCTTGTAATCCCAGCACTATGGGCAACTGAGGGCAGGGGATCATCTGAGGTCAGATCACCTGAGGTCGGGAGTTCAAGACCAGCCTGGCCAACATGGTACAACCCCCTCTTTACTGAAAATGCAAAAAATTAGCCAGGTGTGGTGGCCTGCACCTATAGTCCCAGCTACTTGGGAGGCTGAGGCAGAAGAATCACTTGAACTCAGGAGGCGGAGGTTGCAGTGAGCCAAGATGGTACCACTGCACTCCCGCCTGGGTGATAGAGTAAGACTTCTCGACAACAGAAAAGAGCCCTGCCCGTTTTTTATTATCACTATGAATTTGCAGACTTTTTTCACATGTTATTATTTATTACTATCACGGCTGGGTGCGGTGGCTCACGCCTGTAATCCCAGCACTTTGGGAGGCTGAGGCGGGTGGATCACGAGGTCAAGAGATCGAGACTATCCTGGTCAACACGGTGAAACCTCATCTCCACTAAAAACACAAAAAATTAGCTGGGCATGGTGGCGAGTGCCTGTAATCCCAGCTACTCAGGAGGTTGGGGCAGGAAAATTGCCTGCACCCAAGAGGCGGACGGAGGTTGCAGTGAGCCGAGATCGCACCATTGTACTCCAGCCTGGGTTAGAAGAGTGACAACTCCATCTCAAAAAAAAAAAAAAAAATTTATTACTATCACTTTTTTCATGCTGAAATTATGACCAGTTTGGCCAATGACAGCTTCTTCAAGTTATTCCCTAAGTCCTGATGACACAACCACAGTATTTGAGTACTTCATGGCTTTCTGGAGCAATAATATATTTCAGACTCACCTAGTATTTTCCCTGCCTAAGAAATTGGAGTCAGCAACTTCACTAGTAAAAAAGTATAACGTCCAGTTTTTTCCCCTCTACAATATTTCACTTAATGTCCAGCGTTTCGGGTTTTTTGTTTTGTTTTGTTTTGTTTTTTAGACAAATTGACTCACTACAACCTCTGCCTCCCGGGTTCAAGTGATTCTCCTGCCTCAGCATCCCGACTACCTGCCCCCTGAATAGCTGGGACTACAGGCACGTGCCACCATGCCGGGTTAATTTTTTGTATTTTTAGTAGAGATTGGGTTTCACTGTATTAGCCAGGATGGTCTCGATCTCCTGACCTCATGATCTGTCTGCCTCAGCCTCCCAAAGTGTTACAATTACAGGCGTGAGCCGCCGCACCCAGCCTGTCCAGTGATTTTGTTTGTTTATTTTCTTTTTCTTTTTTTTTTTTGAGATGGAGTTTTGCTCTTGTTACCCAGGCTGGAGTGCAATGGCGCGATCTCGGCTCACCGCAACCTCCGCCTCCTGAGTTCAGGCAATTCTCCTGCCTCAGCCTCCTGAGTAGCTGGATTACAGGCACGCGCCACCATGCCCAGCTAATTTTTTCGTATTTTTAGTAGAGATGGGGTTTCACTATGTTGGCCAGGATGGTCTCGATCTCTTGACCTCGTGATCCACCCGCCTCAGCCTCCCAAAGTGCTGGGATTACAGGCGTGAGCCACCGCGCTGGCTTTTTTTTTTTGAGACGGACTCTTGCTCTGTTGCCCAGGCTGGAGTGCAGTGGTGCAATCTTGGCTCACTGCAACCTCTGGTTCCCAGGTTCAAGTGATTCTCCTCAGCCTCCCAAGTAGCTGGGATTACAGGTGCATGCCACCACACCTGGATGATTTCTGTGTTTTTAGTAGAGATGGGGTTTCACCATGTTGGCCAGGCTGGTCTCAAACTCCTAACCTCAGGTAATCCACCCACCTCGGCTTCCCAAAGTGCTGGGATTACAGGCATAAGCCACCATGACTGGCCTTATTTGTTTTCTTGAGGCATGGTCTCTTTCTGCCACCCAGGCTGGAGTGCAGTGGCGCAACCGCTGCTTATTGCAGCCTGAACCTCCTGAGCTCAGGTTATCCTCCCACCTATGCCACGCAGGGAGCTGGGACTACAGGTGCATGCCATCATGGCCAGCAAAGTTTTTTATTTTTTGTAGAAAGAGGGTTTTGCCATTTTGCCTAGGATGGCTTTCAACTCCTGGGCTCAAGTGATCCACCCACCTCAGCCTCCCAAAGTATTGGAATTACAGGTATGCGCCACCACGCCCCACCAATGTCATTTTAAACAGAGGAAAAGTTTTCTCTTGAAATTGAACTGGCGTGAAATTACGGGCATGATGGCTCGCACCTGTAATCCCAACACTTTGGGAGGCTGAGGTGGGCAGATCATTTGAGGTCAGGAGATTGAGACCAGCCTGGCCAACATGATGAAATCTTGTCTGTACTAAAAATACTAAAACTAGCTGGGTGTGATGGCACATGCCTGTAGTCACAACTACTTGGAAGGCTGAGTCAG